TAACAGATAATGAAAATAGTGTTGAGGTGTGAATTTGACATCTATTCTCCAGACACTATGTAATTATAGGCTACATTGATCAAAGTTAAATAACATATTAAAAGTATCCCCATGAACAGTGTCTGCAGAATATGAGTACCCTCGATTTACAACCACTGAGACTGGAATTTTGGCACTAACCTATGTGGTCATTAAGTGAGTCATCATGTGATTGGACCCATTCTCATAAGCAATTTTTATCATAGTCACTAAGTGAATTACTATGATTAGTTACATGGTTATTAAGTGAATCATGTACTTATTAAGCAAATCTGACTTCCCCAATGACTTTGGTTTCTAGTAGCTAGTTAGAAAGTTTGCAAGCTGCAATCACATGATTGCATGATGGTGCAACCATTATACATGCAAGTTGATTGCAAAGTGCCCAGATTGCAATCATGTGATCACAGGGGTGGTACAACAGTTGTAACTTTGAAGATAGATTCATAAGTCACTTTTTACAAAGCTGTCATAACTTTGAACCATTGTTAAATGAACAGTTGTAAATTGACAATAATCTGTAAAAAAAAAAGTCAAGATGTTCATCACCTGAATGTTGTCCCATTTTCTTGAGAGTTGCCCATAATTTTTCTTTGAATATATATTTTGCAAATAAAAAGGAGTGCACATATGAATAAACCACTGTGGCCATCATTATTCTATTTTAACCACTCTTTATAGATATCCTGATCTACGTTATTATTGTTATTAACATTATTTGTATTTATAGCACAATACTTTGTAATAATTTAAACTGTAATCTTTATTAATATTATTTGACAATCTTTCACTAATGATTATATATCATGCCAGACAATTAGAAAAAATAAAACGGTTATAATGTAACTGAAGTTATAGTTTATTGTTGATGTATTAAAATTATATTATATTATTTTATATTTTATTTTATATTATTTTGAAAATTCAGGTGATGTTTATGTTTGTATATATTTAAACAGTAACTGCTGGCTTAATGCTTTTGCATAACGTAACAGAATCTGCCTGCTCAACTATTTTTATTTGGGAATTTTCCACTATGAAAAGATAACAAACAATTATTTCTCATTTGAATATTAAATTGTCATTGGGAAGTATTTTGTATAACTTAATTATTTGGTCAAAACAGATATTCATAAAAATATTTCACTAGCAGGATACATGCAAATCATATTTTGAGATGCTACTTCTTTTTACAAAGGACAGATATTTTCACAGCTTAAGTACAGTATTTGTTTCACCTGTCTACTTATGTATCAGCCATAAATTGTGGCTACTTTCTTTTGACAAATACAATGACCAAATCAACACTTTAGAAATGAATCACGTAAATTACTTTTCTTCATATCGACAATTAACATTTGCTAGTGTTAAACATAAATGGGAAACCACTTCCACATAATATTTGGTTTCCTTCCAGCCAAGTTTTAAGTGTTTACAAGGCTGGAATGATTAAAATCAAAGATTTCCCCAGAATTCTTTTCATTTTGAATTGTGATTCTAATTGAAAAACAATTTACCAACATCAAAGGATCATAAATTACAAAAAAACAAGTAAGAATTTAATAAAACTATTTCCAAATGAAACATTATTAATTTCAAAGAAATTAGAGGATGATATTTATATAATTTATGTATATATAAATTAAAAAAATATTAACAGCTCTCTTGTCTTTTTTTTCTGTATTCCCTTTTAAAAAGTGAAATTAACCATAAAGGTAGTCCTCGAGTTATGAATGCAATAAGATCCATTCCATTCATAACTTGAGGATTCATAGGAGTGAATCTCATACCTTGAATGTGATTCACTCCCAGCTTTTACCCACACATTTATTAACTTAATACATGGGCGAATGCATGACTCATTAAATGAACATGAGGTATCTTAGGATGGGAAAGGCCATGGGGGCCAAGTGATGGAAGAGGCCACTGGCTTCAGACCACCTAGGCCCCTCCCCACTGAGATACCTCATGGTCCCTCCCCTGGGATCCCCACAATTTCTCCCCCACCCAATCCTGCCACTCTGGGTCACTTATCTTGTAAAGATCTCTCCAGCCTCTCTGTTTCTTTCTCTGCTCCTAGCAAAAGCAGAGGAGGGCCTCTGAGGCCCAAAATGGGCCTCCTGAAGCACGTGTCTACTGCCCACAGCCTCTGTTCTGTGCCTTGGAGGCCTGGAGGAGGCCTCCAAGGCCTAGAATGGGCCTCTGGAAGCATGTGACTGCTGTCCTTGGCCTTCTTTCCAGGTCTCCAACACCCAGATCAGGCCTCCAGAGGCACGCGGAAGCCTTCCCGGGCTTCCATTCCATTTTGTGGTGCAGAGAACAGAGGCCTAAACTATTATGAGATCACATGAGATCAGTAGTGTGGGCTCTCATGTCACTTATCTCATGTGATCTTTGTTACTTTAGGCCTTCATTCTCTGTGAATGCACTGAAGGCCTAGATCAGCCAAGAAAGTGAAGGATCTCTTGATATTTGCAAAGTGAGTATCCATAGGCCTAGTGCCTAGGGAGACCCAGGGCAGAGGGGAGGAGGGAATAGCCAGGGTGAATGTTGCAGTGCCACTGCGGTCATTCGTAAAGATGAATGACTGCTGTGGTGTGGCAACATTTGTAATTTCAGGACTTTTTTGTAAACATTAAGGGGCGCTTATCACATAATGTTGAACCTTCACTAAGGGAACACTCGTAACTCAGGGATTACCTATATTATGTGGGTATTATCTTTGATTTGTGGGTAACCCATTTAAACTTGTTTTTGATCCTGGAATATGAATCAGAAAAAGGGAGCAATATAAAAATTCAATGAAAGCACACACACACACACACACACACACACTTCTTGCTTTTTATAAGAGCAGATTGAAACATAGTGCAAAGGTATTTCATTATGAGTTGAAGCATATTCATATAAATCAGTATTGCTGTGTTTTTATGTTGTGGTTTTATACAGTTCTTTTTAAAGAAAAAACTCACTCAAAACATTTCTATTTAGTAAGCATGCCTAATGCAATGTCAATGTAATCTGACTATCCCTGTCTTCCTCAGATTCATAATCATTCATGTCATAGAAAATACTATTTTGAAGGGCAAGAAACAGGAGACATATAAATATAAGGTTTATATTTTGTAGTAGTTAAATTATTGAATGAAGACTGAAAATACCTAGTTCAAGATGATTCTTAGCATGAAAACATGCTAAACATGGGTGATTTTTACTTTGAACCAGTCAGGCCAGTGCCTCTTTCAGGGTTTCAGCTTTAGGGATAAAATATTTCATTTTTCTTGGGTGCTGCATTGAGTTGTGGAGGAAATACAGGATGTAAATTATATCAAATCGTATCAAATAAATCAAAATAATTTAAAGGGGGGATAAACAAAAGCCCTTTCAACTGTTCAACTGAAAACAAAAATTCTTTAAAGACAATGAAAGATTGGAACATAATATAATTAGAAAAGAGGGAGGAAAAAGTTTTGGAAAACTCTGAAGGGGAAGGAAAAACACCAGCAAAAGTCAGCATTCTAGTCTGGCAAAAATGCTAGTGAATGCCTTTGATGTTGCAATTATTCTCCTTGGTGGGAAAAGACCCCAAGACTCCCAGGTGTAATGGGAAGCCCCGACTCTCTCCTTAGCACTCCACTATGATTGCAGTTGGGTAGCCAGGATTATGGTCATTGAGCAAAGTGGTCCTGTGTATCTCACTTAATAACTGCTTCACTCAATGAATGATATTTTGGGCCAGTTGTGGTCGTAAGTGGAGGATTACCTGTACTATTCATTTCCTAGGCTTTCTAATAAGCACAATTATAATACCCTGTCCCTTCTCTTTGAGTTTCTTTCCTTATGAGTATCTCTTTCCTTTGGAACCAACTTAGCATTTTTTGGAGTATATTAAATTTTCTCATTTTTAATTAAATATATGCTTATAACTATTGATACAAAAGCTATGAGTGGCGCAAAGAGCCATGGAAACATACATACTCAGCATTACAAGACAAGGTAGAAAGACCAGCACATGGATTAGAGAACAAACAAAACAAGAGAGTAAAAGAATGGAAATGGGAATGGGTTGGTCATATAGCAAGAAGAACTGATGGCAGGTGGACCAAGGCAGTCATAAAATGGATAAAAAAACTTGATAAAAAACATCTATGAAAGAGACTTAAAACAAGATGGATTGATGACATCAGCAAGTATTGTGGCTCAATTGGCAAAATAAAGCTCAGGACTGTATAGGTTGGAAACATGCGGAACAGGCCTTTATCCTGCAATGGAAAGACAATGGTTAGGATGTATAACATGTGTGAGTTCCGGCACCTTTTTTTTTTTTTTTACAAAAACACTGGTTGTACATGTGATAGTTGGCAGGAAAGCTAGCCAAAGAACTTAAAAAAAAACCCAAGATAATAGAAGTGGAAACAAACATGGAAAAAATGAATTGCCTCTCATGAAAACCCTAAGCAGAGTAAAGAGATATGAAGACTGCATGTGCAACACTAATTCAGTTCTAATTAATTTTTTGCATGTTGAATCAAACTGAGGTAAAGATATTTAATAAATTCTATTCTCTTTCTTCCTGATTTCTTTCATATATTTATGTCTTGTCATTTTTCTTTGTTTTGCCATTTTATATAAGTTCTGAATGTGGTTTTTTAAATATTTAAATATTACATATTGTATTTTAATGACATTGTACAATAATTTACCAATATTTATTTTAAGAGCTACATTGAAAAAAATATTTGTCTATTTATCATATTTATATACACCCACCTCACTAGAAGTGACTCATGGTGGCATACAACAATCAAATAAAATCACAATATAAAAACAACGTACAGAATCTCAAAATAATAAATAACAACCAGGGAATATTTTCCATATTTAGTTTATAGCTTTGTTAAAAATATTTTGTATTTTGCAATGAATCCACAATAATATTTTATTTGTAAAATTTCTTTTAGGATGCTTCAATTGCTCACAGATTTCACAGTATGCAAGAAAAACATCCAGAAAAATTCAATAGCAGGTAAGAGCCAATTTTTTTGTTTTTTTTTTACATGAATTATTTTGAAGTAGCAATGATGTATGTGACAGATAAAGAAAATTGTGATTTTATCACAAAATAAATTCATATTATCATAGTGCCTTTCATTATAACTCACCAATATTCCTGTCACTTTATTCCTGTTCTGGCCTTAATAAATCTTTTCATATTTACGATATGAATACTTTCTTAGTTACTGAGTTTTCTTTTGGAAATGTGGGCTTTGTAATATGAATACAATTTTCAATTTTGCAAGTATGTACCTTAATAAATTTAATTTGGTTTGCCAGGTTAGAGAAGGTTAGTTTGTGAGATAATAGGATATGATTACTCAAGCTCTGTCTCATGGAATAGTTGGGTTTAATATTTTTTATAAGAATTCAGATAAACAAGAACTTTAAGTATTAATAATATTATCATTTTCACAAATTTGAATGAATCATCATTATCTTTTGAATGACATTTATTCATTTATAGAGTTTATATAGCTGCCAATCTCAACCTTCAGATTCTAGGCAGCCTACAGTACAACAAAACATAAAAACACATAAAAATACTCACAGTAACCATGTAACCATGTAAACGTTCCTCTGGCACCTCTTTCTTAGGAAAAACTGATTAAACCTAAGTATCTTATTTTGTATCATTAACTATTCTCAGTTACAATATGCTTACGTGTTGTGTTGAATGATTGTACCATGGCAAGTCACAACCCATCTGTCTGCTCCTCCATGTTTTTCTTGCTGTAACACATAATACTTTCTGAGCTTGAACATTTCAATAGCTTGTAAATACTTGCCCTAGATATAAAGTATCATGACTTTTTACAGCTCAGAATTTAATCCAAAGAAGAATTTAATTAATGTCTCTTCTTTTTCTTTAGTCATGGGAGCAGGTTTCTCTACCTCTTCACTATGGTAGTCTGACTTTTATGCAACCTGTTGACCCCAAGAAGCTTCAAGAAATGATAGCTTATACATTATTTTTAAAAATAAGTTTGAAATTCTCTGCTTGTATGATAATCCATTTGATTTGCTTATGCTTTTTTAAACATGTATCATATTTATGCAAATAAAAGCTTTGTTTTGATTCTATCATAATTTGCATTTTTAGAAGTTGCATTATTCAGTCAAGTTGTTTTCATGCCTTTGCATTAGGATGTTTGCAAAATTAAACTCATTTCCATTTTACTCTTCAGTTTGGGAAAATATATGACAGGGATTTATGGTTATGGTTTTATGAAGACCACAGTCTTTCAATGCAAGTCTCAGTCTGTAAGCTCTTATAAAATAATTTATGGTACTGAACTGTTCAGTGTTCTATTGCTTCTATACTGCTATGGCCACAAATAAATATTCAAGATACAAAAATTGACGTAACATCATCCTTGACAAGTGTGAGGACCTGTGGAGCCTGCTTCAGCTCTCCATGTACTTATGATCTGAGTTGCTAATGTTTTGCCAATACAAAATTGCTGAATGCTAATGAGATATAGTAATCTACTGTGTAGGAAGAGTTAGGTGTATTCTTTCCTACCTCTGTTATACTCTTTTTACAGAAAGAAAACACAAATGAATCACAAATGAAATAGAAATGAATTTCCAGGAGTTAGTGGCAACTCTTATTCTGAGAGTAGGACTATATAGATTGTTGCCATTATGGGAACTTGGTGGGATGAAACACACAAATGGAATATACAGCTAGAGGGATTTAAATAATTATAAAAGAAACAGACCAAAAAAAGAGTAGGTAGAGTTGTACTGTATAAAAGAAATGACTACATCTCTACAGAAATAGAGCACAACAATGATGAAAACTATCTTGGATGCATTTGGGTCAATATAAAAGGAGAAAACATGACATTCTCATAGGGGTATAATATAGGCCACCCATCTAAACCAAGGAAATAGATGAACTTGTTGATAGTTAGTTAACTAGGAAGCACATCACAATAGTAATGGGGAACTTTAACTACTCTGATATTAACTGGGAGACAAACTCTGCACCAAGTAGAAGATCAAACAGATTCCTGACTAACCTAGCAGACAACTTCATCTCCCAAAAAGTAAAGAAGGGAACTACGGGAGCAGCCATATTGGACATAATTCTCACTAACAGAGATGAAATGATAGAAAGTATTGAAGCTACAGGAACCTTAGGGGGAAGGGTGATCATGCAATATTGGAATTCAATATCATGCAAGCACAAGCAATAGAACATGGTCAAACTAGAGCTAGTTTAAATAAACTTAGGCAGAGCTCGGGAAAGACTCTATGGAGGAGAATCCTCAAGGAAGAAACAACTCAAGAAGCTTGGATATTTTGAAAAGTGAGATTATAAAAGCCCAGTTTAGCACAATACTAATGAAGAAGAAAAATAACAGCTCTCCAAAAAACCCAACATGGCTGCATAAAGAACTTTCTGATAAACTGAAAGACAAAAGGACAAGTATAAAAAGTGAAAAGAGGGGCAGCTAACTAAGGATATTAGCAATTAGCCTGTAAAGATGAAGTAAGGAAAGCTAAGCCTCAAAATGAATTAAGGTTGCAACAAAAATAAAAAATAAACTGGGACTGTCAAAAACAGATCATGCCAGACAAATCTTATTGCATTCTTTGATAAATTGACAAAATTAGTGGACCATAGGACCACATATAATTTATCTGGATTTCAGTAAGGCATTTGATAAAGTAGACCACAACTTACTACTTGATAAGATAGAAAAATTTGGATTAGACAGCATCACCATCAGATGGATTCATAACTGGCTGACCAACCACACTCAGCATATAGTCCTCAATGGAACTGCATCTACATGGAGAGAAGTATGTAGTGGTGGTGCCCCAAGGCATCTTCATCAACGATTTGGATGAGGGAATAGATGGGGAACTGATCAAATTTGCAGATGACATCAGGCTGGAGGAATAGCCAACACTCCAGAAGATAGGCTTAAGATACCGAAGGATCTTGACAGATTTGAACATTGGGTGCTATCTAACAAAATGAAATTCAATGGTGAAAAAAATAAGGTTCTACATTTAGGCAAGAAAAACCAAATGCACAGGTATAATTGGTACCTCCCTATGAGAGGCATCTTGAAGTTCTATTCTATTTTGTTCTGTTCTGTTCTATTCTATTAATGTCTCAAATTTATAAACTATATTTACTTCAGACTAATAAATGTTATTGCATTAAGTTGAATTTATATTCATGAAATATAAACAGGAGGGGTCCTAAAAGGGTGATTCAGAATAATGTGAGGCACATTGCTGACTGAATGAAAGTATAGAAATCTTCTATAACATATTTTAACCTATAATAGGAGAAACTCTGAATTAATGAAAAAAATTATGAAAGTGCCTCAGATAGACATTATACATACTTATATTTAAGAACATATTATATTGAATTAAAAATATACATAGCTTTCCCTTATTTCTAATTGGGATAATTTGAACTTTGCTTTAGAGTTCTGGTCAAAGAATATAGTTTTACAATTAACAATGAAATCATTTAGCTTGAGACATTCATTTAGAAAAACATATTGTTGACAAGATAGTTAAACTTTCTGTGGGAAGTTTACATAAAATTTCTCAGCTTATATTAAGATTCATGGTCATGTTTTATATTTTTAGCATCTTTTTGCAAACTAGAGCTCTTAGAGACGAGTGATGACATTAATGAAGAGGGCTCTATCAAATGAAAGTACCAAAAATGTGATTCTTTAGAAATTATTGGAAAATATAATAAATTATTAATTCATCTAGTTAATCTAATATCCACAGAGTTCAGTAAGCAATATGGATACTACTATATGCATCTGTTTCTCAGTTATATTGGTATTCTAGTTCAAGCTTAATTCATCCTAGTTATCCACATAGAAAAAAGAGAGCTGAGTAGATGTAATCACTACCTACATGTCCACATGACAATTTCAAGAAAAACAAGACTGGTTTGGGTGCACAAATTGGAACATATTTAAAGAGACTGCAACAAATGGACAATATATTGATGTGAACAAGTATGCTTCTACTGTGTCTGTCTGCTTATATCCCAAAATATATGGAGGATGTCAGTGTTCTTAGGTCTATTATCATGAGAGCAAATGAGAAACCTTGGATATCACAGAAGGTCTGCACAGTGTTGAAGGTGAGAAACACAGCTTTCAAATCAGGTGATGCAGCAGCACTTAGAATAGCAAGAGCTGAGTTGAGGCATGCTATAAAATCAGCAAAGTGGGCCTATCGTCAGAAAGTGCAGAATTTCTTTCAAGATCCTATGGACCTGAGACCTATGTGACAAGGTATTCGGGTAATTGCTTATTATAAGGTAGCTTCCCTGACATGTAAGGGTGACACAGACTAAATAAGCTAAATATGTTTTTTGGACACTTTGAGGCCACAAACATTTCAGCAAGGAAGACTGTTCCCCTTACTGATGAGCAGATGCTCAGGTTTGATACAACTGCTGTTCAGAAGGTCCTGCAGAAGATCAACATTTGGAAACCTGCGGGTCCTGATAATATTAAGGAGTGTGCTGACCAGCTAGCCAATGTTCTCACAGACATCTTCAATTTCTCGTTGCATCAGGCTATGATTCCATCATGTTTTAAGACTGCAATCATTGTACCAGTGCCCCCCAAAACTAAAATCACATGCCTTAATTATTACCATCCAGTTGCACACCTTTTCATTATGATGAAGTGTTTTGAGAGATTAGTAAAAGACTACATGGTTTCATGCCTTCTCCCTACATTTGACTCATTACAGTTTGCCTATCGGAAGAAACGCTCTGTAGAAGATGTACTTTTCTGTGTGCTTCATCTTAGCTTGGTGTACCTGGAGGGGAAGAATACTCATGTGCGAATGCTGTTTGAGGATTTTAGTTCAGCATTCAACACAATCATCCCTCAGCACCTGGTGAACAAACTGGGCCTATTAGGTTTTAATACTTCTTTATGTAATTGGATACTTGATTTACCT